TGAAGATGGGTTTATTTCAGCGTACAACTCTCAGGTGACTCTGTGATAGAAAACTCAGGACTAGAACTCATGACAGGAACCTGGAGGCAGGAATTGAAACAGGCCACAGAGGAACACTGCTTACTAGCTTGCTCTTCTATTTTGCCCAAGGGCTGTACTACCATGGCTGGCTAGTCCCTCCCACATTGATCATCAATCAAGAAGATGCCTCGCTGGCTTGCCCGTACACCAATCTTATGGAGGCATTGTGTCAAGTTGGTAAAAAACCAGCCAGTATCGACCAAGCCTGTTGACCTGAGTTCTATCCTAGGATACACATGGTGGCAGGTTCCCACAAGTTGCCCTCTGATCTCTCCATGTGTGCTGTGGACATACCCCTCCCCAATCAATCTATCATTGGATCATGAATGTAAAGAAGGGATTTTAAAGACATCCCAGGCTAAGCAGAAGCAGGTACTATCGGGTTTTCTAAAGACTGACAATGAGGATAATATTAATGGGAAATGCAAAAGCAAGGCATCCTAGGATTTTGCTGTGGTTTGTTGAGGAAGGTCTCATGTAGCCCAGGCTGGCCTTGAAGTCAGTATGTAGCTGAAGATGCACTTGAACTTCTGATAGAATTACAGGTGCATTCCAGCAACCTGCTTTTATTGAGACAGATTCCTGCTAGGCAGACCAAGTGGCACTGGACAGTGTAGTCTAGACTAACCACAAGTCTCAGTCTTCCTGCCTGAGTACTCTGAGTGCACATACATACATGCATGCATGCATACATACATACATGCGTGTATATGGACGTAACAATAAAGAGATAATGGATTTGAGGTGAGAACACAGAAATGGGAGGGGAAAGTGATGAGGTTAAGTGCTCATTTTCGAAGTCTCAAAATAAAAACCCAATAACAAGAAAAACTCCAAAACTAATTTTAAAATTCTGAAATGTGTATTCAGTAGACAGACACCAATGTCCCCTTCCCCTGAACCCCTGGAAATCACCATTTTACTTTGTGCTACAGTTCTGACTAGATCATGTAAATGGAATCTCAGTATTTTCCTTTTTGTGATTGGTTTGTGTCACTTGCCATAATGTCCTTATTTCTACAAATGGGAGCAGAGGATGTAGCCAGTTGATATTGTGCTTGCCTTGGTATTCACAAGGTCCAGAGTTTAGGCCCCAGCCCCAATAAGCCAGGCTTGGCGGTATATGCTTGTAATCTCAGCACTTGGAAGTAGAGGGAGGAAAATCAGAAGCTCAAGTTCATTCTTGGCTCTACAGCAAGATCAAGAACAGCCTGGGATACATTAGACCCTGTATCAAAAGGGGAAAATGGGGCTGGTGAGATAGTTCAGTGGATAAAGGCTTGAGTTTGGCTTCCCAGGACCTACATAGTAGAAAGAGAAGATCAACTCCTGCAAGTTGTCCTTTAACCTTCATACCTGTGGCATGGCATGTGAATGCCCTCCCAACAAATTAATTTAAAATGTAACAAAAAACAAATCTGTCACACCTAGTGGTGTGTGCCCCTAATTCCAGCACTTTCAAGGTGAAGGCAGTGAAGCAGGAATTCAAAGCCAGCCTCAGCTACACGGCAAGCTTGGAGTTAGCCTGGGTTACGTGAGCAGTTGTCTCGAAAACAAACAAGGCTAAGGTGGCTCAGTGGGTAAGGCTGTTTGCTCTGCAAGGACCTGAACTCGAGTCCAGCATCCATGTAAACAACGGGCACTCACAACTGTCACCCCGGCACTGAGAGCTAGACAGGCAGGTCCTGGAAGCTTGCTGGCCAACCATCTCAGCCAAAACAGCTTCTGGCTTCATGACAGACTCTGTCTCAAAGCAATAACCGTGGGGAGCTACAGAGGAAGACGCCTGCTCTAGCACCCCCAACTCCCATCATGCCCTCCACCCCACACACAGGAAGTCAAAGCTGAGAGAAACCAATCCGGGACTTTCAAAATGGCACAGTGAATTCACACTTCACTTCTCTGATATAAATATAATAAAGCCACACAAAATAGAAGGAAAAAAAAAACCTGGTTTAAAACCTAGACCGCAGATTCTTTGGGTCAGACACAACCATTTGCAAAGCAGTAAGCAGGATTGAGACTGGGGGGACTGGAAGCATTTTAGGTCTGAGCTGCTATGCGTTATAGATAATGGCAATTGAAAAGAAAAAAACAAAAGACAGGAAAAGGAAATCGGACACTGTGGCCTGTGCCTGACATGGTCACAGTATATGCATATGGACACAACCTGTCTGGAAGAATCACAGCCCCCTGAGTGGCAGTTATGCCTGGAGACATGTAGATGAGTCCCCACTGTGGCAGGTCATACTAAAATGGTTGGGCTGGTGGCACAGGCCTTTAATTCCAGCACTCCAGAGGCAGAAACAGGCAGACGGCTGTTGAGTTCGGGAAGAACATAGTCTACATAGTGAGTTCCCAGCCAGCAAGGGCTACATAGTGAGACCTTGTCTCAAGAAAGCAACAACAAAACATGTTGCTATGAAACTTCTGTGTACCATGTGAATGTTCCCCGATAATTTTTATGGAAGTATAGTGTTTCCCCATCAAGTGGAAAAAAGCTTTTGGGAGGGCATAGAGCTGCACTTGTATGCTTAACAAGCATGGAGACCTATTTTCAAGCTCTCATACCCCAATATAAGAGCTTCAAGGGGCAGCCTCCACCTCCTGTAATCAGTGTGCTTAGAATGTGACAGTCATTAGTGGGACTGTGGTTCCATGCACCTTTAGTCCCAGCACTCAGGACTAGGCTACAGAGACCCTGTCTCAAAAAACCAAACAAACAAAAAAACCAAACAAAGAATATGTAGTCATTTCAATGTCAAATGTGTCATCAACATATCAGATGGTGGTCTAGTCCATGCCTATTCAGCTTTTTAAAAAATTCCTGTGATATTTATGTATGAATGTCTTGCCTGCATGTATTTATGTATAGCATGTTGTGTATAGTGCCTGTGGAGGCCAGAAGGGGCGACAGACCCCCCGGAACTTGCAATATAGATGGCGAGAGCTACCATGTGGATGCTGAGAACTGAATCCAGGTCCTCTGTGGGGCAATAAAAATTACTGAGTGCCAGGCAGTGGTGGTGCACGTCTTTAATCCCAGCGCTTGGGAGGCAGAGGCAGTTGGATCTCTGTGAGTTTGAGACCAGTTGGTTTACAAGAGTGAGTTTCCAAAGCCACAGAAAAATCCTGTCTTGAAAAAAACAAAATAATAACCTAAAACAAACAAAAAAACTACTGAGCCATTTTCTATACCCTTTTGGCTCTTTTTAAGGCAGGGGCATTCTCTTACCTGTCAAAATAATTGAGTGGCAAGACAAGGTGTGACCCGAATTCAACATCAAGGAATCCCTTGCCATGGGACTCATGCAACCTGAGTCACTTCCTAAATGAATGACAGCTGTACCCAAATCTCAGCTCTTCTGCTCTAAAATGGACAACTGTTACTGAGAGAGTAAGTCACAGTGACAAGGGCTGAGGCAAGTGACCCCTGGAGGACTTGCCACCCATTTCAAAAGCAAAGCTACCTTGGTTACTGGTACCCAAACTTCTCAAAGGTAGCAAGGCTGGCGCATTATCATTCTGCTTTGGCCTAAAGATTCTAGAAGACCTAGGGGGCTGGAAGTCCTGGGACAGAATGTGGGGAAACAGCCACACTGACACCACCCACGGCTGCTGATTGTTTATTGCACAAGAAACTGGCAATACCGAGGCAGGGGCAGGCATTACAAAACAATCTGTCCACCCACTTGGCACTAGCTAGCACAGGCCTTTCTGTACACACTTCCGACACACACACACACACACACACACACACACACACACACACACACACACACCACCTGTGAACCTGATGCTTCCTAACCTTGGGGGCAGCTGGTCCCCCACCAGCACGGAGCAGCAATGAACTGAGCCATTCAGATCAGCATGTGCAATTGCGGGGGGGGGGTAGTCACAGGCTGTACCGGGAAAGGATGAAGGTAGAAAGGAACTGTCCCCTGTAACTAGTTTGAGAGCACGCCTGGGGTGCCTCAGAGCTAGTTTGCACAGGGAGCCTGCATGAGGGAGTGTGCCACCATAACCACTCCGACACCCCAGAGGGACCTTCGTACTGCCTACATGGGAGGCTGTCAGGAGTGTCATAAATCCAGCCAGCGTCTTTTCCCATGGTCAGATAAAGTCTCATGCCTGCATAGCACACTCAGCTGGCCAAGATGTGCTCCACCCTAAGCCGTGTGAGCTCCACCATTGAGGGACAGCACTGTCAACCTGGTCTTAACTGGGGGCTGCGGGGTCTAGCAAAAAGATCTTGTCAGTGGAGAGTTTGAGGGTGGCAGGGACTCAGAGCCAAGCCTTGAGCTGGGGGAGCTACTAAGTGGGTTCCTGAGAGATGCAGCTGTTTGGGAAGCTATTGGATCAAGAGGGTTAAGACCCTCAAGGACTCAGAACACCTGGGGCACCAGCTCCTTGACAGACGGTGATAACAAAATACCCAAACAAAACAGAAGGCAACCCTACACACAAATATACTTCAAGCTTATGTCACAGGACAAAGTCTGGGAGTCTGCTGTCTCCTTGCCACTGACACACAGGTGGCGGCTTCTTCAACCCTTTGCTTGCTAGAAGAGAGACTGGAGGCACTGAGTGCCTGCTGCTCAGTCCCTCTCGGCTGCATCCCGCCAGGGAATAAAGCAAAGACAGCCTTGATGTGGACTCGCTCCCTCAGGCCTGTTTCACACAGACTTCAGGAAAGGTCTACAAAAGCGGAGCCTCTTCTGTTGGCAAAGACCCTGGGCTTTCTGGGTCTGGTCAGCCAACCCATACAGCCTATCTCCTCACCTAACACGTGAGGCCCAGCTCCTGTGGCAGCCCTCTGACAGGGCATGTTCCCTCACACACTCACACACACCCAGATGTGGTCCTAGTGGAGGGGGCAATTTTGCAGAGGGGCAGCCCTCTGACTTTGCGACAGGTGATGAAGTCAAAGGTGATAGGGGCTTTATTTCAGACTGCCATCATCAGGTAGGAGAAAGGGGCCACAGAGCCTCTTGGGGCCAGACTCTTCAGTCACCAACATGATCAAAGCACAGTCCCATACAGGGCCGCTATCCAAAGGGGCCTCCTGAGGGCTGTGCAGCCAGTGGCATCTCAGGCAGGAAGGACTCAGGACTACATGTGCTGGAGGGCATGGGAGGGACAGCCTCGGCTACTCCTGTCCAAAACCCTCAGTCTCCTCGATGGCGTAGAGCAGCTTCTCCTTCAGTTGTTCATAGCTCTTGTAGGGCGGCAGGTCCAGACGGTTGAAACTGTAAGAGACATTAGAAGTGGCATGGGGAGGCCAGGGCTCCAGGTATCCTGCCCCCAACATTCAGGCTCCGGCTTCCAACAAACTCACCATGTATGGCTCCGGGGCAGCCAGGTTTCCTTGCCAACTCTGTCAATGCAGAACTTCTGGGGTCCATTGCTCCCTGTCATCCAAGGCAAGGTGTACTTTGTGTCAACACAGATGGCCTTTTCTAAAGCAAGACCCGGTCCCTTCCCAGCTTCCAGGACGGCGTGCATGCTCTGGGCTGTCCTCACCCCCAGCCAAGGTCCCAGGAGGGCAAAGGGAAAACGCACCAATGAGTTCAGCAAATCCCCCAACAGGCAGGCGACAGGTTCCTGTGACAAACTGCAGTAGCCGGATCCTCTTTTCATTGTCCATCTCCTTCACTACCTACAATTCCACAAGGAGTCAGGGCGCCCTTAGCCTAGCACTCCACACCCCAGCAGGGACATCTCTAGGTCTGGTGGGGCCACACTGGGCAGGGAAGACAGATCCCAATCAGGAACATTCCACAAGGGTCCACGGGACACTGCTTGGTCTCAGGGACATCCTGGGCCTGGCATCCTTTGCCCCTCCCCCACATTCAGCTTTTAAAGACACGCTAAGGTTGGGAGTGGCTGTTTGGGGAAATGAACTGTATTGAAGTTGAATAATGCTGTTAATTGTACAGCACAATCAAGGAGCTAAAGTCACTGAACACCTTAAAATATCCGAGATGGTGAATTGCACGCCATGTGAAGCACACTGCACACCTTCACAAAAACTTTACACACACACACACACACACACGCACACGCGCACACACGCACACACACACACGCACACGCACATTTGTAGCTATCTTTTTCCATGCACAATCTCCTTGTTAAACAGCTGTAAAATCCATATATATAAAGAACCAAGTCATTCAATTCAGGATAATGGGCTCACTGTATTTTTCTAGACACCCGTGCCTTCATTTCTCACCCCGTCTGACTGGAGGAGACCGCACAGTCAGTTGTAGCTGGCTGTGGGTCCCCTTGGCTCCCTGGCACACTGACCACTAACAACCTCTGTCACACAAGCTGGTCGACAATATAAACACAACAACCTCTATCCCGACTAGAGACAGTTTATCCTCTACTTTTCCAAGTGGGGGAGGGGAGGAATGGGTCAAAGATGAAAGGTCCTTGTGTCTGGTGTCGGTCTCATGTCTTTTGGGTAACTGGTAAGCATCCCTGACAAGACCCTTGCCCCCGGCCTAACAGGGGAGACACAGAGCCCAGGACGCACCTGCCAGAACCACTGGATCTGCTTGCTACTTTTGGTGTAGTGCCGGTAGATGGCGTTCTTCTGCCAGTCGTTCATGTCTATCTCCTGCATGCCGCAGAGCATCAGCTGTAGGGAGGGACACGTCAGCAACCCTGAGTCAAGTCCTCCCCCTGCACTGCTGCATGTCCACATGGTGCAGCCTCCTCTCACCAGTAGGTGACTCCTAAACTTCGTCAGCCTGCTATTTTTTTCAGAAATGTTAATGCCCCTGCTCTCTAAGCACAGGGAACTAGGGCTGAGGGTCAGGTGACACTACCTGTACTGCGGCCTCTAGCTTGCTGAAGTGTGGGGCTTGGTGGGTGACTTTCTGTGGTTACACAGCACGGATCTGGGGCAGCCTAGAAGCACTGAAGTCAAGGGCCCATAACTTTTGGCACCTACCTCCAGCTCTTTCTCATCAAAATATCGCAACCACTCCAGAGGGGCCACCTCATTGAAGCCATCCAGGAAGGCTTTGGTCTGCTCTTCCACACCTCGGGTGAATCGCCAGTCAGTCAACAACCTAAAACCAAAGGCAAGCCACCGATGGAGGCCAGGCCACCCTGCTTGGTACACTCCTTTAACCGTTGAGCCTCAGACTTACACAACTGTATGGTTTAATGGGATAGACCAGCCAGCCTAAAGACCGTGAGTGTGAGGTTTGTACATCAGCACCGGAGGGCTGGAAGACTAAAATACACTGGACACAGAAATCCTCTAGGTCAGGAGAGATGGCAACATCTAAGCTTTTCATTTCTTTAAAAAGTTCCTTGCAGTTAGAAGTCTCTTGAACACAGAAAGATAAACCTGGAGCTGGTAACCAAGGCCAGAGGCTCCAGGTCCATAGCTCAAGTCATTATGTGACCAGTCAAGGCAAATGCACCCAGGATATTTTTGCAGTTTGTGAGGACCATGGCCCCACAGCAGTGCCTGGTCAAAGATGGTACAAAAACAAGGGCAGATTCCTTGAAACATGCCCACCCCCAGGCCTGAGACTCACATGATGTACTCTTCCTTGTTCTCTTCTGTAACTCGGATGCTCTCACCACCTTCCTTCAGCTCATGGGTTGTCACCTTGCCCAGGATCTCCATGTCCTGGATGAAGAACAGCTCCAGGCCACACTCTTCTAGGTTGTTCTCTCTGGGACACAGGAGGCCAAGGGAGAAGATGTTCATCTTATCAAGGTCTGCCCTTGACCTGCCCTTACCAAGGTACCCAAGAGGCACTGGGAACTCACAGGTGGCCAGGCACAGTGACTTGGAACATTTTCTGCTGCAGAAAGAGAATTCTAGAACTGTACTACAAGGGACCTAGAAACTCTTATCTCTATAGGCCTTGGGGAGGCCAGGTAAGCACCCAGGAATCTCTGGTAGAGGAAATCAGGGTCAGGATGCCAACTGGCCAATCAGAGCCTGGCTCCATCAGAGCAGGGCAAGCCAGAACTCACTTGATCCAGACAATGGAGTTGTAAAACTCAGGGTCAATAGACTCTAGGTCCTTCAGAGTTGGTCTCTTGTTGAGCATCCGCTTGTAGAAAGGAAGGGTGAAGCCTGTGTCGATGAACTTCCCATGGTACAGAGCCTGGGCAAGGAGGAGGCACAGAGAAAGGGTTTGACTTCCCTGGATGGCAGCTGGCACAGATCAGGAGTGCTTTGGGTGTCAGCTGCCCTCCTTCTGAGAGGACACTCCTTGAGAGCCAGCCGCCTTAGCTAAAGGGGAGGCCTGGGAAACAAGCACTTTTTTCTGACTTGGGCATAGGAACAGACTCATCCCATCTTGAAAGCCATAGGGACAGGCAAAGCAAGCCCATTGTCTTCCCAGCACACTGGTCTAGCAAAGGCCCGTCCCCCACTACCAGGGAGAACTTGTTCATAACAGCTCCAGGTGGCAGCCCTGATTCACTGGCACTCTGAGTGGGTAGCACAAGAGGCCAAAAATAATGCAGACACTGAGGCTGCCGAGAGCTGGCAGTCAGTGGTGAGTAATAGTCTGAGAGTCTCACTGGTCTGTCGTTGTCTGCTGCTAGACCAGGCATGTCTCTAGCCCCAGGAAGAATGTGCCCACTTTTGGAGGGATTGCCAGAATTTAGCCAAGAACTTCCAGATGATGGGAATGGCCATATTTAGTGACAGAGCTTAGGTCCCTTGGCATTCCAGAGAAGGGAATGTGGGGTAAGACTCAGGATATCAACAAAAGCTGGCACTGGGGCACAGTCACACCACAGCCTCACAGACCCCTACTCAGTACAGGTCATCACAGGGGATGGGGCATGGCCCTCTCCACCGCTATGCTGAACCTGTATTTATAGGTGACTATGGTTGCTACACTCACACGCATGCGCATACACACACACACAGACACACACACACACACACACGCACGCGCACACACACACACACACACACACACACACACGCACGCACACACACACACACACACACACACACACACACACACACACACACACACACACACACACACACACGCCTTGCATCAGCCAGCCAGTTTACTTTGGTTCGGATCTAAGTCCATGCTGGATCCTAACTCTCTTCTAGAAGGCTCAGTGTCTCAGTCAGACATTTCCAAAGGTTCCCTTGCCATTGTGGCTCATGCAGCACCTCCAAGAGAAAGGCAGCAGGCAGGCAGTTAGGGCTTTGCCTGAGCCAGCCACGTCCTATAAGTCCCCTGGGCTTCTGTACAGAAAGGAACATGAGAAACCCGTGAGAGCCCCAGGTGGCCACTGAGCAATCTGTCACGTCTCCACAACTAGCTAGCTCTTCTGCTTTTTAATTTCAGGTTAGCAATGTGTAAGGAAGCCAGGAGAGTCACAGCAAGTCCTACACAGAGGGCAGGACCCTGAGGGCTGCTGCTCATGTCACTGCTGCCTCCTCAGGGACTGCCCTTCTCAGAGACCTCAGGTCCCTTACCATGGCGATGAATCTGCCGATAAAGCGGAAGTAGGTGAGGTGGTCAGGGTTGATGGAAGAGGCGGGGTTGATCTGCAGGCAGTAGTTGCTCTTCCCAGCATATTCAAATAAACAGTACATAGGGTTGAGCACCTCATGGGACAGGAGGAAAAACCACTCTCTGTGAGGGGAGAGAGGACAGAACAATGGAGCCCTCTGCTGGGAGCCATCTGGACACATGTGTCCTGGGAGGTCAGCAAGCCAGCCCAGCCCAGATCTTGGGTGAAGCAGAATAGCACCTGAAGATAGTACTAGGAAACCCTGTGTGGGTGCCTGTCAGCTCCCAGAGTACACTTATTACAATATCTAGTGGCAAAGGGGCTCCTCACATCCAGGGCCACCATGCATCACTGTGGAGGCTGCGAACTGCACAAAGCTACTATATTCAATTATTATAGACTGGACGGCAAGAAGGCTCAGCAGGTAAAGGCTCTTGCATCCAAGCCTAACAACCTGAGTTCAATCCCTAGGGTCCATTTGGTAAAAGATGAGAACTGAATCTCCATAAGTTGTCTTCTGACCTCCACACATGCTATATGGCCCATAAGAACACATACACATACACCTATGCCCCAAATAAACAAACAAATGTAATGAAATCATAAACATACACATTTATTACAATGACATTTCTGTCCTATGACAGTATCCACCCTGCTCCACCCAGTGCAATGAGCAGAATACACAGCAGCACGTTCCCCAAGCCCAAACCCTGAAAGCTCTGTGATTCATTTGGCCTCTAGAAACCTCATTCATTCTAACTACCCTCTAGTACCTCACTTGCCTGTTGCCCCCCCTTCACCCCAGAACCCAAACTTGGGCACATTCATCTCAAGTGACGCCACCCAACAGATGCCTCAGCATCCATCTGTACCCTGAGTATAAGTCAGAATTCAGGGTCCTTCAGGGCTTGAACTAAACCAGCAGGGAACACAGGTCAAGGGGGCCAGTCCCTGGCTGCTGGTCTGTTTGTGGCTGTGTAGACGGAGTCCTTCGATGCAGAGGGTGCCCCGGTATCCTGTCCGTGGTTCTACCCTGTGGTAGAACAGCATGACGTAACCTACCATAGGGTAAAACCACTGGCAGGACACAGAGAGAGACACACAGGGCGGGAGCCACACCAGAAGGCCACAAGCACAGCCTGGAGAGGTCACCACGAGAAAGAACAATCCATTCGCAGGATTACAGCAGCAGCAAACAGGACCAGGGATGGCAAGCCCAATGCCAAGCAGGAAGATATCCCACCACCACAAGGTCAGCGGGATGAGGGGTCACCACAGCCAAGACGCTCCTTCTCACTGCCAGGGCCCTCTGCCTGTCGTCCAAGGCGATGCTTTGCCAAACAGCCTGCTAACTTTTGTGGGGGGAAGGTAGCACAGTGTTTTGGGTTCTTTCAGGGATTTTGTTGACTGGTTTACATGACATTCAGCAAGGGACGGATATGCTTAGACATATTAAAAAACGCTCTGAAAATCCTGACTTCACCTGCTCCGGGTGCCTCAAAAAGAAGGAAAGCCGAGAGTGATTTTAAGGGACACCCACAGACTCTAATAGTCAGCCACTTCCCACTGATAAGCTTGACAGGTTGTTTTTTAAGTACAGAAAAATGACATGTAGACTGGCATAGAACCACACCATGTCCCTCCCCAAGAATCTTCCAGGCGCCCCCCCCCATAATCTAGTAACCAAAGGGCTGAGGCCTGACCCTCCTTCATAGCTTCATACTAACCAGAGATTTATTATAGAGTTTTCTTTCTTTTCTTTTTGGATAAAAGGTCTCATGAGATCCACGCTAGTCTCAATTTCGCTATGTAGCTAAGGGCAGCTTTGGCCACCTAATCCTTCTGCTTGTATTGCTCAAGTGCTACAATTATAGATGTGAGTTACCATGCCTGATTTATGTGGTGCTGGGGCTCAAACCCAAGGCCTGCTCACTAGACAAGCACCCTACGTTAACTGAGCTGCAACCCCAACCCAAGAGATGACTCTGACTGTCACACCAGGCCTCCCTGCTCATGTAGGAGAACTCAAGGGGTAAAGAACAGCATGGAGGTGGTGGCTTTCTACACATGGGTCCTGAAGACAAGGGGCATGGGGTAGAGCACAGCCCTCTGGGCACCCTAGCTCACCTGGCGATGCCACCGTAGTCCAGGCCCTCCTCACCACGCATGATGATGTAGAGCCGGCGGCGCAGGTCGTAAGGTTTCATGTTCATAATCTGGGGAGACAGGGCATCCGGCCTCCTGCCCCTGACCCCAGCACAGCAGGCAGGGATGTGGGGGCAGGGGGCTCTAGGGTTTACTGTCTAGCAGATATGGTCACCAATGCTTATGCCATGAGGTGGGGTTAGGTGATGGGAGGAAGCCGCTTAAACCAGGATCCCAGAATCAGTAATATTCTCTAACCTGTTGGAAAGAATCCTCAAAGAGCGTCTGCCTGGAAACACTGATCTTCACGTGGCTGGGGAGGGCATTTGACTGAAAAGGAAAGGAAAACTCTCAATTGGGGCTTCCCAAGGGTGCCCACTCAGGGGACTCTCCCATCTGTGACAACAAACCCCATGCCCCAGGAATAGAAGCCTCCTCCTTAGAGACAAGCAGCTCAGAGTGGGACAAGCATCTAAGACACATGCACCTCAGTGCCATATGGGCCTGGGAGACCAAGCTTACAGGTCTTAACAGCCCCACACACCCATGGAAGCCCCCAAGCCAGGACTCACATGGCAGAGGAACCGGAACTGGTGATACTTCCACCGAAAACTTCGGTCGTAGGCACCAGGTGAGCCTTGTTTTGTCCTGGCAAGAGCAAAGGAAGTACTGGAACCTGTTTGATTTCTCAGAAAATGAGCATCCCATTTCTGAGGGCCCCAGGGAAATTGATGCTCTGTCCATGAATTTAAAAAGCAGTGAAGCAAGACACAGAGGGAGGGGCTGCCGCTGGGAGTAAAAGACACATGGAGACGATGCCACACCTCTCACTGGAAGAGGTCACATACCTCCACACTCTGCTCTAAGTAAAGAGGATGGCCCGGGGTCCATCTCTCGGTGGTGACATCCTCATGAGCACTAGAGGGTAGTGATTAGCACAACACGAACACACACACACACACACACACACACACACACGGTATCTCAAATCTATTGATGGAACAAGATGCCACTGCACAAAGACCCCCCTCCTCCCCAGCCAGCTGAACAGGGCACACTGGGGTTGTGCTGGGAGACAAGGCTGTGGCTGTGAAGGTCCTTACCCTGACTCGAACCCTGGGCGAGGGTCCTTAAAGGTAGTAGTTCGGGTATTGTGGTCCACAAAGTACCGCACACCCTCACTGGTGTATTTCATCTCCCATCCTGGGGGCAGGGCTGGCTCCTGAATCATCCTAAAAACACAGAAGGCGGCTATGGACTGCCGTGTGCTTAGAGGCTGGGGTCTCCAAAGTCCTACTTTGTCTTTGCTTTCTCCGGGCTCTCCAGAACCCTCTGTGGGCAAAGGGACACACCAAGGATATGAACCTGGCAAGACTCAAGTTGTGAGGAAACAAGTCATGTGCAAAGGGCCCTTTATTATGGGGCTAAAATGCTAGTCAGGGGTGGGTAGCAACAGCTTGAGTCACCAAGTGTCCCTGCCCTACTTCTGAGGGGCAAGGGTGCCCTCAACTTTTTGGCAATCATATTCTCAGTGCCTGCCTGTGACATCCTTCCATGTCCCTGTGCCCACCAGAAAGTGTGATGCTCTCACTGGCCTGCTATGTGTCCTGAGACTCCTAGGTCCTCATGAAAAGCTGAAGGCCCCTAATGTTAGCATTGTGAGGCAAATGCACAGGCTATTTGACCACAGCTGGAGCTGCACAGAAACCCTCACCCCATCCCTCAGGGCCCCTCTGCCTTAGTCCTCACCCCTGGGTCCGTGGGTCCTCCCACTGGGTAGTGCGTGTGTTGTGGTTCACGTAATACACCCGTCCATTGTCCTGCCTCTTCTCTGCCACAGGAGAGAAAAGGAGAGGACAGTCAGATTCAAACAGCCTGTCCCTTGGCTCCAGCTGCCTGTGTGATGAGTTAGGATTTCTGTTCCCATCACCACCCTATTGCAGAAGGTTAAGAGGAGAGAGCCTGGCCCAGTCACACTTGTCACCAAAGAGTCTTTCCCTGTTGCAGGGCTGGGGAAGGGTACATTGGATGGAAGGGCGGTGTAGCAGTACAGATGGCGCAACACTGCTGAACCAGGGACGTGCCTGCATCCGGCTGGACAGTATGGCTGCCCTGCCAGGCTCCTCAGCCTCGGAGTGCAATGCAGGGTGGCTGGAAGAAAACCAGGAGCAAGCTCCAAGCTTCAACAGGCCACCTTCCCCAGGAAGTTCCTGAGCCACAAAGCTGTTTCTGCCCTGGCAATAAGCAGCACTAACAGCACTCACTCTAACAGTGACACAGTAAAATTAAAGAGACACCATTATTAGTTCCAGGAGCTACAGGGAATCTAAAAACTGCAAAGGGGAAGAAATGGGGAGACCAGCAGGCCCTGCTCCCCTCTAAAACCATGCTGAGACAGTTCCTGTGACCCTACCTTACCAGCTGTCTACCCATCTGCAGCTATAAACAGACTTTGTCAACCGCACCCTCACAAAGCTACGAAAATAAAGGAAAGAAAGAACAGGAGATGGCGGAGCCTTTAGAGATTTCAATCCCCAGCTAGTGGCTATGTTGTGCCCTGGAAAGCAGTCCCCATGCTTATCCCAGTTTCCACCTTAAGGTATCTGAGGAATTGGCCGTCCTAGCTTAGGAGCCACTTTGTAAATCTTCCACGGCTGCTCAGGCCAATAACAAAGCAGGGTGTTCTGTCCGGTGGGTCTGAGCCCTTGGCCACTTGGCCTTGTGCTGCTACTGTTTGGAGGCCTATGTACCTACTGGAGGCCTTCAATGAACAGCTCTGTACTGCAGGGATGGGGAAAGTCTTTTGTGAACACAGCAAATGGACTCAGAAACATTTGTCACATGACAAGGCTGCTCAGGAGCAGATGTAACTATAAACTGGAGGTGTCTCCCCTTACCCCTGCCGTCATCAAACAACAGTTAGGGACAGCCATGGGGGCTCCTTGAAACCTCAAGGCAAATAGAAGAGCAGCAGGCTCGCCATTAAAAGTATTTTCTTGTGGCCTTGCTTTTCCATTCTTCTTACCATTCAGGAGGAGGCAGCCCTGATATAGCGCCCCGGTGATCCCAACCCAAAGCCCCAAACACTGTGTTCTTGGCACAATGCTTTTCTCCAGCTCTTAGATTCTAGCATTCCTCCTGCCTCAGCCTCCACAGTGCTTCAGCTACAGACAAACCCCACCACACCCAGCCTAAAACGTTCTTTTCTCGCATAAGAATGAGCATTTCTGCTTTTCCAATAGACATAAACAGCACTGACTCTGAGCCTGACTTCTCCTACTGCACATGCTTGCACACTCTGCACCTGTGAGCTGCCTTCCTTCCAGTCTCCACAGTTGTCTCGATCATGACTGCCATTTAGCAAGATGGCTACAGAAAGAAGTAACTGTGGCTGAGCCGGGCGGTGGTGGCTCACACCTTTCATCTCAGCACTTGGGAGGCAGAGGCAGGCGATCTCTGTTAGTTCGAAGTCAGTCTCATCTACAGAGAGAGTGCCAGGACAGACTCCACAGAGAAATACTATTTCAAAAAAAGAAAAAAAAAAGTGCAGCTGATGGAGCTGCACTGATTCCCCATGCATAGCCCAAACCGAACTCCAGTCTAGACTCCAAGTCACCAACTACCATATGATGCTGCAGACTCCTACTTAGCCTGATGCACTTTCCCTGCCCTTGTCAGAACTCCCAAGGTTTACCCACCCGGGGTCAGGGAGCCAGGCAAGTTGTCTATGTGTATGGGAGTTTCCTAGCTGAAATCAAGAATCCAACATTTCCAACTAGGATACAGGAGCCTCTCGGAACTCTGGAATGAAACAGGAGCTCAAGGATACTGTAGGGTAGTTGACAGAACCTCTTAAATTACTACCAAGGGGCAGCTGTGTCTGCATTGAGACCTGGCCCCAAAGAAGCATATCCCAGAGGTGCCCTTGAGACTGTTAGCATTGCAGTGGCACTTCCCCACCCACGTAGGACCATCTGCGAGCACCACCAAACCAACACCTACCATCTTCCACTACCCTAACAAGAAACTAAACCCAATACCTGCTTATTCCTGGAAAAACTGCTCCCTTTGGCATCAGGGACTCTTGCAGGATCGAATAAACTCCTGCCCATCTTAGAAAGCTGCATAAGTTCCTGGGTCTTGCCATTTCTAATAATACTTTTTTGCACAGCACTTCTTCCTAGAATAGCAACGAAGCCTACAATCTCTCCCAAATCATGGGTATCTGACCCTTAATGGATGCCTGTTCCTTACCCCTTGGCAAGTCATACCAAGGGCCCAGGATAGGTGAGAAGCAGCTACTGTTGACAAGGGATCTCTAGCCACTAACTAGCAGTGCTGCACTCTCAGGACCAACACCCAGTATGCATCTCTGCTGGCCTGTGGGCTCGTTCACAACAGGACCACAAACAAAAGCAGTTGACACTAGTCAAAATTAGGCTGGTGCCCGTCCTCCGGTGTCTCAGCTGCAAAGAAGAAGACTTGTTATGATGGCCCCTTATGCCAGAGTCACAATCAGAAAGAAGTCTGCGTGGACACCACATAGGTCAAAATAACTATGGGAGACAGTGGATTCCTGAGTCACCACCCTGAAACTCAGGACTCAAGTACAACAGCCCCATGGTCACCTGGGGATATCTCTCTTGGGTCACACTCCTTTAGCTGTAGCAGATGGCTGCTGCGGTGGCTCAGGAGAAACCTGCTGGCTCTGCCACTGCCATTGCTCCAACTGGGGGTCCTCAGCACACATGTAAGGGTAGTGGAAACCCAAGGGATAGCACATGCAGGAGATGCGGGCAGAATGCTATGACTGCCAAACAGAAGCCAAGAGCTCAATACTTACCCCAGCCAGGCGGGAGGGGACCCAGGGGATCATGGTCAGACGAAGCACTTGAAGACTAAATACAAGAAACAGCAGAACAGAGAAGTTAAGAAAAAGACAACCCTGGTTACAAATAAACGGGTCAATGGAAGTAGAAAAGCCCAAGACTCACTTCCACATTTTAGGTAGCCCTTGGAGAGAACGCAGCAATCGAGGGCTAGGGCAGGGAGAACAAGTGGGTAGAGGTGATCCAAGGATGGTGGGTAAGGCCCCAGAAGTCTGGCCTGGGCATGGCAGGAGGGCTCAGAGCAAGCTCCCCCGCCAGCTCCCGGTCGGTCTCTGCTCAGCTCCCTGCGGCCAAGGCAACTGAAATCCTCACCACCTCCAACTTTCTCCAAGAACCACACACAGGAGGGGAAAAAATACCGCAGGCCTTTCCAATGAAATCATTCCCACAAGCCCTGCCCACGCCCAGGGCTTCCTGGCTGGGGCCCGGCCCTCCTCCCGCCACCTCCCTCCTGGGTGTGCAGCATCCACCCGAACTGAGGCCACTTTCATGCCCAAGCCCCTCACCTCCCCCAGGAATGTTTTCCTTCCCTGTCACAAAGCACCTTTATTCTTTCTCTGCCTGAACCTGAAGTTGCTCAGTGTTCTGCGTTTGCGTGTCTGGGGAGGTGGGGCTGGGGAAAGAGAGGGGAGGGGCTCTGAGACGGCAGGATCACTATTTACACTAGTGCCCCTTCAGCCGATTTCTGCCTCAACGTCCCAGGGGAAGGGCTGCAGTAGATGGAGAATTTTCATAGCCTTCGGGAAGCGGGGGTGCACTGTCAGAAGCTTTGCAGAGTTAAATAAAACAAGCACTGTTGTACTTTTCTCTCCCCCATTCAAGCATTTTTATTTCACTTACTAGAATTTGATCATCCTATTAGGGATCAAGTTCTAAATACAGACTTGAGGCTGCAGACCTGGCTGGCCCCATCTGGGGATGACAGAGCCACACACACCAGCAGGAGGATGAATGGGGCTCAGTCTGGGCTTGAGCAAATACTGGTGCTCCACTGCCAACCAACCCCCAACGCAGCCCCCTCTACCTCAACTGAAGGGACAGAGGAACCTTCTTCCCAAGGTGGCAATACAGACTCTTCTTCTAAGTGAGTTCCAACAGAGCCATCTAAGTCTTGAAACCATAGGTGCCTTGATGGGGGACAGGGGACCTTTCAGTAGAGGGCCTCCTTCACATGGACAAAGGAAACTGGGGGAAGCTGGCCTCGGTCTGGGGCCTGTTACTGCCGACTCCATCCCAACTCAGATATGCCTCAACGTTGAAAATCTCCCCGGCTCACACTGGTCATAGGGGTAGGGGTGAGTTCTGGAGGGGTAGGTGGGGGTGAGGTGCAGCACCCAGTAACATTCCTGCTTTGGAGCTAAGGGGTAAGAAGTCTTCATGAAAGCACTTAGCAGCAGAAGCTGAAAAATGAGTGTGAAACACAGTGCATTCATCAGGTAAGAGCCAAGCCAAAGGCAGTGGTCACGCTGAGCAGCAGGCATGACTGCACAGTTTTCAGGGACTGAACACAGGTGTTCACACATGCTAGGTGAATGCTCTCACCACTGAGCACATGCCCAGCCTGCAACTGAAACAAGCCAGGTGTGGTGGCACACACAGACCCTTAATCCCAGCACTTGGGAGGCAAAGGCAAATGGGTCTCTGTGAATTCAATCCTAGCCTAATCTACACAGCAAGGTCCAGGCCATGTGAGGCAACACAGAGAGACACCCTTCCTCAAAAAACAAATAACATCAACAAAAGAAAACCAGAAAGAAAGAAAAAGAAGAGGTAATTGGCACCTAAGCCTGGCACTTCGGGCTCTTTGGAATGTGTAGATAATGTATAACATACCAAGGCTCTAGCAGGTCCCTCACTGATGGCACAGAGCTTGACACAAAAATATTCATCAGCCTCTTCTTCTTTTTCCTTGAAATGAAATCTCCATAGTTCAGGTTGGCTTCAAACTCAGGCTCACACTACCTCCTTGCCTCAGCTTCCCAAGCAGCTGGTACTACAGGTATGGACCACTGTACCCGTTTCTTATATTTTTGGTTGTGAGCCTAGCCTTTAACAGCTGAGCCATCTCTCCAGCCCTGTACCCGTTTCTTTCTTTCTTTCTTTTTCTTTTTTTTTTCTTTTTTTCTTTTTTTTTTTGGTTTTTATGAGACAGGGTTTCTCTGTATTGTTTTGGAGGCTGTTGGTCCAGTCCGGCTTCGAACTCACAGAGATCCGCCTGCCTCTGCCTCCCCAGTGCTGGGATTAAAGGCATGCGCCACCACTGCCCGGCCCCTGTACCCGTTTCTTAACCCTTGCTGTTTGTTTAATTTTTTTTTTGTCTCTACCCCAAACTCCCTAAAATGTTGGCTCTCCCTCATGATAGCAGGTCTTCACTACATTTCCTTAGCACCCTCCAGTTCCTACCACACCTCACCACATCCTCAGTCTGTAAGAAGGACAGAGAAGAAAAGGGAGACAGGAAAGAGCGGGATAAGACTGAAGAACACAACACAGGAAATCTGAACTGATGGACACCAATAGTGATTTCACTGTCCATATAAAGTGGATCATAAGGAAAGAAAGGACACAGAAGTGAAGGAAAAACAATAAAAGTTTTGCATCATGACCAGGAAACCCAAAGCACATCTCCATGTCTTCACTGGGAATCAAATGCCCCCTTTCCTCAGCTTCCCTGAGGGTCCAGTGTGCCACATAGAGCAGACAGGACGAATACAGACAGGACAAGGGGTCTGATGCCCAGAAGAGAACACCTGCAGGTGCAGATAACTCCGAGAGACAAAGCTGTGTCCTTCATTACCAGAAATGCGAGTGTGACTGCTGAACCACCTTCTTAGTAATGCCCAGGGCTAGAGGTCCATGATGCATGCCTTGAGTCAGAAAGTTCACGTGAGTGCAAGTCCCTCTGGGATTAAGCACAAAGTCCCACTGATATTTTAAGATACAAATTCAGAAATAAAGAATGTCTAACAAACACAGTTGAGGGCAGGAAAGACTCTGGGAAGGCCAGAGGGTGCAGAGCACAAGGCATGCATCGAGTTTGAAGAATAGACCTGATGGAGGCAGAGAAAAATCTAGGTGCCCAAGGACACGATCCAAGAGCTCACTGAAGGAAGGATGGAGCCATCTGTTTCTGGAAGGTACAATCTGAGTCCACACAGCAGGAAGCACAGAATGACCTGGGTGGGTACTGCAGAGCCTGGTGCTTCCTCCTTTAGTCACCAGAGGAGGACGGGTAGAATGAAAACAGAGGTGCCACATAAACAGTAGCCTGTGGGACGGTGCTAGTGTAATGCCACAACATGCAAGACTGTGCTGGTGTCCTCAGTGGGCCACAGCAGGGACACAAACACAGGCAAGGATAAAGCAAGCAAAAATATGGGCACACTGATTCAGAGCGACAAAGGCAACTTAGGCAGTAAAAAGAGAAAGCACCGAAATACAGAGCACAGTAAGCCAGGGAACATGGAAACGGTGTGTGCATACGGAGGCCGGCCCAGGGAGGGATGGCAGGAGCCAGCAATCCCGATGCCCTCGATGCCCATTAAAACTGTGTTTCATGTTCTCTAAAGTGCAGTAAAGAACAAGATCTCAGTTTAAACGCAGCAGGGGGAGTTATGGGAGGGCGGGGGGGGGGGACACGACTGCTAGCACAGTATCAGTTCTTAGTCTTCCTAGTCAAAGCCTGGGTCAAGGCCAAACCCCAAAATAACGGTATGAAAGCAAGCCTTCTTACTTGTAACCAGAACATGGCACCATAGCAAACGAGAGGGAAAACCAAAGGCAGGAGAAAACCAACAGAGACATTTAGAGCAGACAAAAATAAAAAAAGGTCCCCACCACATTTCTTCAGTACAAGACGTCTTCTATTTCACAGAACAAGGTAACTCCCCCAGCCCAAGCAGAGCCTCCAGGCCGCCGCTAAGACAAGCAAGCCATTCCACAATACTCAGAAAGAAAACTGGTCTTGCATTCCCACTTCTCAAGACACCCCGATCCGAACTTCTACCCTGAGGCTTGCTACAATAAGAGAGGCAGCAAAAAGGAAGACGGCAAAAGACCAAGCGGAAGTTAGGTCCCCAGTCCCACTAGACAATCCATGAAAGAACGTGGAGTCTGGGCCAGGAAAGAGGATTCTTTTCACTGTTTTTTTTTTTAAATATGGTTATTGCGAAGTTGGATAAAGAAATCACAAAAGAAAGCTGTCTCAGGCAGGCCTTCTGGGTTTAGGAGCCAAGGTCACTGTGAAAACAGCAAGAACGATGGCAAATCCAACTTCAGGCACATTAATTAATGCACCTATCTGAGGCATGACGCGGAGTTACTAAGTTAGAAACTTGAGGAATCTCACGACGATGAGTGAAGTCTTAGTGTCATGACATCTCTGGCCACCCTTTGCTCCTGCTCACCAAGCAGTCGACAGAGTGTGTGTGGCTGCAGAGCCTAACGTGGAGGGAGTCATCCCGTTCTGGGCCGGCTCTGGCCCTCTCACCTGGTAGAGGAATCTTTGGCTGAAGTGCTGCATAGCCCCCTGGAGCTGACTCCGCTGGGACTGCCACTGCTCATAGCTGCGCACGTACTCAGCAGTTGGGCGCTGCCAGGTGGTTGTCCGAGTGTTGTGATCGACGTAGTAAAACCTTCCTCGGGGGTCTGTGCGTTTTTCCCACCTGGAAACAAGGAGCTCAGCTGAGATGGCTACCTCACCCAACAAATTCTAAAAGTATTCTCAGGATGTCTTATAAGGAATTGACTAGTTGCCTGGGCCACAAGTAAGCATATGGCCTCAAAAGTGCATCTCAGGCTATCTGCTGGGAAATTCTAGGGGAGGAAAAGTCTTCCATCTTTTCTAAATCTGAGTAGAAAGCATGGAGCCAGCAGCCACTTGTTCGGCTGTACAGTGAGGTCGGCCCAGAAGACAGCAGGACAAAAACCCAGGAGAAAAGCTGTTTCTCTGGCTCTGGCCATGCCCAACTTGGAATACCAACTTTTGTGATTTAGTTCTCTAACGGACAGTGGTCTCATGGTGTCATTAATTTTTTAGTTGCACCTCTCCCATGCCTTCCTCTAACATGGGTGCTTGTATGTTCACAATACCTTGCATGTCTACAACAACAGCTCTCCACTGTTGTTCCTGATAGGACTTTCCATGGTCTCTGGGTTGGGTTCCCTGTGTGCTGCACCCCCTTCCTTCTGGGTCTGCCTGCTCTCATCTGCTGAAGTAAATCACACGGTACTTTCCAAGTAAAGTCAAGTTTCTGAAATCAGCATGTCTGAGGATGCCTTTATTAAGCCATTTTCCATCCTTGATGTGATGGCCCACTCTGCTGCTGCTATGGCATTCCTAACTCTCAACCCTTTCTATGTACTCTATTTTCTCCCTCTGGAAGCTTCCAACATCTTTTCTTGGCAGTCTGGAATTCCATGAGATGTGGCTTGGGTGGGTCACTCTTCATTTACCGGGCTGAGCACTGGATGTGGGCCCTGTTAATCTGAATATTCACACTGCCATTTTGGCAATTCTTTTCTTTTTGGTTTTTTGAGACAGGGTCTCACTATGTAGCCCTAGCTGTCCTGGAACTTATTATGAAGGCCATAATGCTCTGTGGCCTTGAACTCACAGAGATTTACCTGCCTCTGCCTTTGAGTGCTGGGATTAAAGGTGTGTACCACCACGTCCAGCTCATTTCATTTCTTTTGTTGTTTTTTTTGTTTTGTTTTGTTTTTCAAAACAGGATTTCTCTGTGTAACACACCTGGCTGTCCTGGAACTCTCTTAGTAGACCAGGCTGACATCAAACTCAGACATCTCCCTGCCTCTACCTCCAGAGAGATGGGATTAAAAGTGTACACTACCGCCACCTACCTCATTTTTTGGGGGGGGGTTGAGACATGGTTTCTCTGTGTAATCATTTTTTCTTTATATTTTTCTATTATGTTTTATTTAGAGTGTGAGCACATGTGTGTGCCAGAGTGTACAAGTGTATATATGGTAGTCAGTGGACAAGTATGGGAGTCTATGATTTCCATAAGGTTGCTAAGTTTAGTGGCAAGCACTTTCGCCCATCTTTCCAGCCCCCCCCCCATTTTGGTAGTTTTCTATTTTTGTTGTGATAGTCACTCCTTATTCCTTAATTTTTATCTTCTAATTTCCATGTCTCCAAACATTCTAATAAGCTTTGGGTTCTTTATTTTGGGGGGGCTTTTGTTTGACAAAGTCTCATGAAGCATAGACTGGCTTCAAACTCATGATGTAACTGCGGATGGCCTTGAACACCTAATCCTCCTGCCCCTATTTCCCAAGAACTGGGATTATGGGACTGGAGTATTGACTCACAACGGTTAAGGCCACTTGCTGCTCACACAGAGGACTCCGGTTCAAGTCCGTCACCCACACAGCAACTCATAATTGTCTGTACCTCCAGTCTTGGGGATCCAACACCGTCTTCTGACTTCCCCAGGCACCAGGCATGCACATGGTGCACATACATATAAACAAGCAAAATACACATATAACATAAAAACACGCCAACAAAAAGAACTGAGACTATAAGTATGCACCACTATACTTGGCTTTGATTTTATTTCTAGTGCCACACACATTAACTGCCAGGGAACAGGCCCAGTGCTGGCCAGGTCCCAGAGAGGAAGTGAGAGCAGGATGATCCAGGCACAATGGTCAGGAGAATCTTGTAGCCTGACTGACTAGCAGCCAGAGTGTTTAATATTTATACAGAATTTAGGAAGCAGGGATACATTCATGATCTCCTACTCTTATACTGAGGCTGTATTTTTATTTTTTCCCCAAACCTTTGAGGATATTAATTAAAATTTAGAAGCTGGGCATGGTGGTTCATGCCTGTATTCAGGAAGCTGAGACAGGAGAATAGCCGTGAATGAGCAGGCTGAGTCCTCAGGTGGGAGCTGCAGGCTATGCTTGTCTTACTGAGGCAGAGGCTCAGCTAGCTCACCCAAAGGGTCCTCAAATGTCACAGTCTGCAGTTCTCCTCCTGTATGCTGGCCAATTTCTCCAGTAAAGCAAAACAAAAAACAAACAAACAAAAAACTCCTTCAATCTTTCATTCTAAGGGATGGTTTCTTCAGTCCATCTGTTGTTGCAGTTATGGCTTGTGCCCCTAAGGATGCCTTGGTTCTCTGAGAAGCTTTTAAGGGCCGGTAACAGTCGTGCGTGCGTGCGTGCGTGCGTGCGTGCGTGTGTGTGTACGCACATGTGCTCAAACATGTATGTGAGGCAGCAGAACTGGAGTGGTGACTGACAACCTGGGACTTGAAATGCTCTTGCAAAGAAGCCTTGAGGTGATCTCCAGGTTTTCATCTCTCCTCACAGCCCTCCTTAGGGTTTTTAGTGCTCTTTGCTGTAATCCAGTCAGATCATTCAGACTGCAGGCTTCCTCAGCTCTACCACTTAACTGTCAGCAAAGACATTTGCATCATTATCCTGTGTGCTGTTTGTCTATCTGTCTGTCTCTCTCTTCCTCTATTCCCTTCATCCTTCCTTCAACTTCTCTCTAATCTTCTGGCCTCCGATTCCTATGCTATTATTATAGGCATGTACAACCACACCTGGCTTTATCTCATTTTTGAACATTTGTGCTTTTCCTAAAATGAATTTGTTGCCATTTTAGCAAGTTTTCAGGAACGATGAGATAAATACATGTTCACTCTACGTGTTTACCTAGAAGTCCTCCAGTAGGTGAATTTCAAACTTCTTCTTTTAAGGCTTATTTTTATCTGTGTGTGTGTCCATCTGCATACATGCCATGTGTGTATGAGTGCACTAGAAGAGTGTTGTGGATTGAGGAAGGAGAGAAGAGGTCACTGGCCACTTCTCCGCTACTTCCCTGGTCAACCAGGTTCTTACCCTGATATCTGATTCTGAGTTTTTTGTTGTTCTTTGCTTGCTTCTCAAAAAAAGGTTTCTCTATAGTTTTGGAGCCTGTCCTTGGAGCTAGCTCTGTAGACCACACTGGCCTCAAACTCACAGAGATCCGTCTGCCCCTGCCTCTTGAGTGCTGGGATCAAAGGATTAAAGGAGTATGCCAACACTGCCCATCTGACTCTGAGTTTTTTATTGAAGTTTTTTATTGATCCAAAAATAAAAAATAAAAAAGGCTGAACCTTTCTCTCAAGCCCACCCTACTACTTCTTGTGTCTCTCTATCTGTCCTTGGTCCCTCAAAACCTCTCTGGCTAACTTTGGCCAGCTAGTAGCTAGCTCTGTTCTCTGATTCAAAGTCAACTTCATTGGCAGTCTCAGGAGTGCCAGAATGGGATCAAAACATCCCACAACAAAAGAGGGCCCTGACTGCCCTGGAGCTGGAGTCACAGATGGTTGTAAGTTACCTGACATGGGTGCTCTTCTGGAAGAGCAGCAAGCACTCTCGACAGCTGAGCCATCTCTCTAGTTCCAATTCTCCAGCTTCTAAACTGGATAATTCTACCATTTGTTTCCAATACAGAGCAGTGTTTGAAGGCTGAGTCAGCCTGCTTACTTTGATTCTACCTCCACCTCCACTGAGCACCAAAAAGGCTTCATGGGGCACACCTGGAACATCTGGTTTTACTCAGCCTTCTACTCTGGCACAATTGTTCCATGCACCATTCCCTATAACCTTTCAGATCCATACACACACACTGAACCTCCACTGATGCCATCCTCCTGCTCTTATGTAAGTATAGCCCTCCTACAGTAATCCCTCTCTGCTTAGCTCTGGTCTGAGCATTGCTCAGGACTAACCAAAGAGCACCTGATGCAGCCTTGGCTAACAGGTCCAATACTTTGTGCTCCAGAATAAAAGTACTGGGCTGCACATATGTCACCATGAATTTGCTACAACAGGGTGGCCATGATAAAGTGAGTCCTTTGACCCAATCTTGTTTCTTAATCAGTAGCTTGCTGAGATAATGGTTTTATTTGTTGTTTTAAAGTCACTATGATAGTGATCATATCTCACACTACCCCGGGGAAGAGACTTCTCTTATTAACTATGTTTAATGCTTATGTTTTTTATGCATTTCCTACCACACAAGGAAGAAGAGCCCTTCACTTAAAATTCTGGAAGAACTGTGTTGGGTAACAAGACAGGCATCTCCCATGAGAACATTAAAAGTATCCTGGGGAGGTAGGCTGTGACTAGGTTGGCACAGTGCTTGCCTAGCATGCATGAAGCCCCATACTGCATAAACCAAGTGAGGCAGTGCACACTGGGAATCCCAGCATTTGGAAACAGAAGCAGGAAGATCAGAAGTTTGAAGTCAGCCTTGGCTATATAGCAAGCTTGAAGCCAGCCTGAGCTACATAAGAGTCTGCCTCAAAACAAAACAAAAACAAAAAACAAAACAAAAAGCCCCCAATAACAGTAACTCTATCCTAGAAAGAAGAAAGCTTGATTGGTGTCCCACCTTAATACCTGATGAATAATATGACCCTAGCCATCCTTAGAACCCCAACTTTACTTTAGCTCCACCCAAATGCTTAATAGATCAACGTCTACACATCCATTAGGAGTGATGACACAACCCAGCAGTCGGGAGGCAGAAGCAGAAGATCTCTGAGTTTGAGGCCAGCCTGGTCTACAGAGTGAGTTCTAGGACAGCCAGGCTGCACAGAGAAACCCTGTCTCAAAAAAGCCAAAAAAGAAAGAAAGAAAATCCAAACATCTATACATCCTATAGACCAGAGGATTCGGAGGTAGCAACAGTACATTTTACAGCATTCCTGTTCTAAAGTTCAAATGTGCAACTCATACTGTTAGATCAATGCTTGACAATTAGAAAAATCCAAATGTTGACTGGATTGGATGATATGGAGCAATACTGCCAGGTCCAAAGTCCCCTTCCCTGCAAAAGGCTATACAGGTAGCATTGGACTAAACAGGACTTTGGCCAAGTAAACAGGCAAACAAGCCTAAAGGTTTCCATTTAGTAGAAAAGCAGCTCTCTTCTGCAGTTGCTGCTTACCAGGAACCTCCCTTAGGCTTCCACCAAAGGTCAATCACAAACACACCTAGTTCTAGAGCACTATGGACATTCAGATCCCCACTCTACTAGCACATAAAATTGGCTTGCTTTCCCAGCATATTGCTCTTTTGTCTGCCTCCCCACCACCTTGAGATGGCCTTTGCAATCTGATCCCAAACAAATCTTCCTCTCTGTTCACAGATGATCTAGTTTTGTAGTTTTGATGCACCATCACATGTTCTAACAATACAGAGGCTCTACTGCAGCGACTTTTTGTTTTTTCAAGACTAGATCTCATTATGTACTCTGGCTGTCCTGAAACTCACTGTGTAGGCTAGACTGTCCTCACTGAGATCCACTTGCCTCTGTCTCCCAAGTTCTGGGACTAAAGGCGTGCACCATTATGCCTGGCTAATGAAGTATTTAGAAGTGTGTACCGAAATTTGGGCAAATAATAAAGTATAGGCCTCCCTCAAACTAATATAAACCAAGACAAACAAGGAAGGTGGATGAAGGGTATAGATTACAGACTGGAAATATTTTCTGTAAAGTAAACATTTGAAATTTTCTGGGGCCATACAGTCTGTGTTGCAGCTACTTGATTGTACCACTGAAGGAAGAAAGCAGCCATTAAAAACATAAACTCAACCCTTAGAAGGCTGAGGCAAAAAATTACTACAGGTTCAAGGACAGTCTGTGCTGTGAGACAAAGTGAGTTCTAGAACAGCCTGGGCTTCAGAGTGAGAAACCTGTCTCAAAAAAAAACAAAAAAACAAACAAAACAAAACAAAACAAAACAAAAAAAAACCAACCAACTGGGACAGACATGGTGACACACGGCTTTAGTTCTAGCACTCAGAAGGCAGAGGCAGGCAGAACTATGTTGAGTTAGATGCCAGTCTGCTACATATTGAGCACTAGGATAGCCAGCACTACACAGGGAGACCCGGACTCCAAAGCAAAACAAAACACCAAACAACCAACCAGTCAACCAACCAACCAGCCAGTCACAACAAAAAACCCTCCCGTAACCTCAGTGGCTCAAAAGTACAGTGCTTGTCTACCAGGCCGCTCACAGCCAAAGCACGGGGCATGAGCCCCTAGCACTGAAAGGAAAAGAAGAGAGTGGTTAGCAAATGAACGTGGCCATGTTCCAAGAAAATATTATTTACAAAAATGGGTGGAGGCATCGATTTTAGCCACATGCTGCTATAGGGTGTCAACCCCTGGGACAGATAAAACTGGCTAGGAATAAGTGGGGCTCATTGTACTATTCTCTCTATACCTGAAAATTTCCATAATAGTAAAAAATTTCCATCATTTCCACAATAAAATGTAGAAACAAACAAACAAACAAAGACCCTAAAAAGCAAAAGTTTAACTTTGGTAGCCTTCACTTGAGTCCAAGTAGAAACAGAGTGAGCACTAGGGATGACAGATGAGGAGCACCACTCCAGCAAAGGAAGAAAAGGAAAACCCAATGCTCCACTGGAAACTGCAGTGACAGCAGCACATCTGTGGAAATTTGTGGAGCCAGATGGTGAGGTGGGATTTGCCTGGCTCACTCTTGACAGAGGCTCTTCCCAGAGGCTCCCCACCCCCTACTCGCCAGCCACCATCCTTCCCCTAGGTAAACTGGGAGGATGATGGTCATATTTATGGAGGAGTCCTTCATGGCTGCACTAAGTGGGTTGAGGGCAAGCCTTTCCTGAGAACAGAATTCATTCCCTTTCTTAAGTTCTCAAGACCAGGAGACACATGTGGAAAGAACTTTCTGTCCCTGGCAGACAGGAAGTCAAAGCCCTTTTCTCTTTGAACTTGGACCGTCTTCCCCACTTGGAAGTCTTTCTCAGTCTTTGGTTTTGGAGAACTCCACTGTGTTCTTACCAAGCCCAGATGAATTAGGAACAACCTGCTTTTGGGGGCAGGCTACACAAGGAAATGCAGCTCTCTTTTTCTTTGTGCGTGTGTATGCATGTTGTATTTGTGTACATGCTCTGTTGCTACATGTATGTGCACGTGTATATGAAGGACAGAGGTTGACATTGGCATCTTCCTCTACTGCTCTCCATATTTTTTTTGAAGCAGAGTATTTTACTGGATCTGGAACTTACAATTCAGCTAACCTGGCTGGCCAGTGAGCCCCAGGGATCTTCCTATCTCTGTCTCTTCTGTGCTGGTCTTACAGGTGCACATCACTGCGCTTGGCTTTTTATATGGGTGTGGGGATCTGAACTCAGACCTTCATGCTTGCCTGGCATCTCTCCAGCTATTAGTCCTTTTTTTTTTAAGAGATTTTTTTACTTACATTTATATGTATGTGTGTATGCACATGTGTAACTGCCCTCAGCGTCTAGAAGAGGGAATCAGACCCCCTAGAGTTAGAGTTACGGTTGGTTATGAGTCACCCAGGTCCTCTGGAAGAGCAGTCAGTGCTCTTAATCTCTGAGCACTTTCCTGGCCCTTGGATCTCTTTCTTACTCACCCTTACTCTTTCTTACTCACCCTATACCCATTTAACCCCAGAGACTCTCAAAACATTACAGTATATTCTAAGAATGAGGGCTGAGTTAAGGGGAATGGGAAAGAAAAGTCATCAAGAGACCCAGGGTGCCAGGTGGTGGTGGTGCACACCTTTCATCTCAGCACTTGAGAGGTAGAAGGCAGGCAGATTTCTGTGAATTCAAGGCCAACCAGGTCTACATAGTGAGTTCCAGGACAGCCATAGCTACAGAGAGAAACAATCTCAAAAAACCAAAGAGGAGAGGGAGGGAGGGAGGGAGGGAGGGAGGGAGGGAGGGAGGGAGGGAGGGAGGGAGGGAGGGAGGGAGGGAGAGAGAGAGAGAGAGAGAGAGAGAGAGAGAGAGAGAGAGAGAGAGAGAGAGAGAGAGAGAGAGAGAGAGAGAGAGAGAGAGAGAGAGAGAGAGAGACTGACCCAGGGTAACTGTCTGCTGCCTCTGAAGAAAGGAACTGAACTGCCACTCCTCGTAAGGGTGTCACAGAAAGCTGACTAAGACCCAGGAAGTTTCCCCTCAGACCTGTCTCCAGGCCTCAGCAGCCCTGCTGGCACTGAGAACCACACAGCAATAAAGCCCTGGCCATGCAGTGGGGCCAATGTAACCATGTGGAGTAAAGGACAGGCTGGAGTCAGGGGAGAGTGGGAGGAGGAGAAAGTCAGCAGAGAGAGTCAGGGTCTGACCGAGACAGATAGCAGAGTAGTGGGGGAGATGCCTGGTACCCATTCCAGAGTCTCAGGCCTTACCCTGGAGGAAGAGGCCGCTCCCAGGTGGTGGTCTTGGTATTGTGGTCAACATAATAGACACGTCCATTGGGCAGCTCTCTTTGCTCCCATCTGGAAAATAAAACCAAGGGAAGGCATGACACATACAGTCACAAGGTACAGTCCCAGGAAGAAAGGAAGTCCTTCACTGTGGATGGGCTCATAGAAAAAAACAAAAAACGAAACAAAGATGACATTCAAGGGCAGCCCAGTATCACACCAGCTCTGTGCTGCTGCTGGAATCCTCCTGACAAAACTATGGTGCATCCCTTTACAGCAGAGATTACTGTAAATCCCCTAAGCTCCACATGCCTGCATTCCATGATTTCTTCTTCCTTTTCTCAAAGACTTATCTTTTATTATGTGTATGTGCATGTGTGTCTGTGTGTGGGTATATGCATGTGAGTGAAAGCCAGACGGAGGAACTGGATCCCCCTGGAGCTAGGGTGACAGGCAGTGGCGAGCCACCCGGCCTGGGAACAGTACTGAGGCAAACTGGAAGAGCACTATGTGCTCTTTACCACTGAGGGCCCGTCTCTCCAGCTGCTCCATGGCTTTTCAGATCAAAGTTTCGAAGATCCCTTAAAAATACAATGGAGGAGCTGGATAGACGGCTCAGGGGTTAAGAGCACTGACTGCTCTTCCAGGGGTCCTGAGTTCAATTCACAGCAACCACATGGTGGCTCACAACCATCTATAACCCTCTTCTAGCATGCAGTCATACTTGTAGGCAGAATACTGTATACATAGTAAATAAATAAATATTTTTTAAAAAAGAATACAATGGAAATTGAGAATATTTTCTTTCTAAAATGAACTTCCAACAATAATTTGCATGCCAATTTCTGGGTTACACGGGCTTCTCTGAAAGTTTAGTTATGGGCCCCTTTCTGCCTTTTAAGCTACCACAACCTGCTAAAATTAAAAACTATAACTACTGAGATGGCTCAGTAGTTAGAAGCACTTGCTGCTCTTCCAGGACTGAGGTTTGATTCCCAGGTTACAGCTATCTGTAACTGCAGTCCCAAGGGATCCAATACCATCTTCTAGCCTCCAAGGTCTCTGCATGTATGTGGTTTACAGACTAACACTCGGGCAAGAAAATGCTCAAAGACAAAAAATAATAAATAAAATCTAAAGAAAATTATACCACCGAGTCCTGTTCTCCTAGCTTTGTGTATATTTATGATGAAATCTTATTTATTTATTTACTTTGAGATAAGGTCTCACTATGTAGCCAGCGATGTTTATTTTTAAACTGTAGGATTTGTTAGCAGAGAGTCACATGAAGAGACTGGCATGGATCCAGGAACATGGTGCACTGTTGTCTGATGACTGAGCTTCAGTCTGTGTGGAAGTTAACATGAGTCTGGGAGACTAAGGGTGGCTCCTGTGTGCTAATGATGCCGAGAACCAACCAAGCCAAGAGGCACAAAAACAGCCAAGGCCACCATCCCACACTCCTGCTACCCAGATGCACGTGACCACAATATTATAAAGGACACTCAAGTATGACACAACACTGTTTTGTGAAGGATGAAAACAGTCCAGTGAGTTTCCCACATTTCATTTACTTCTACTTTGGGGTACTTCCTGGCCTTTTGGGAGGAAGTTAATATAGTGTGTGCTGACAAAAAGCTTGTTTTTAAAATATTATTATTGTTGCCTGTGTATGTATGACGCATGTGTGAAGTCACGTGTGTCACAGTATGCATGTGATGGTCAGAGAATAACTTTACGGAGTTGGTTCTCTCCTTCCACCTTTACACAGAATCTGGGGAATAAACTCAAGTCCTCTGGCTTGTGAAACAAGGGCTTCAGTGCTGAGCCATCTCACGGGCTCTGCATGCTTGTCTGAAATTAGGGATTTGTTTCAATGTGACCACTACTTCAGAGAATGAAGTAGGCAAAATGTAAGATTTGTGTTTCAGAATTTTACTTGTAAGAAAACATTGAACAGAAACTGCCTCATTCAAACTTACATGGAAATATTCAAAACCCACAGGAATCCACCAAACAGAGATGGGAAGTACAGGAACTCAAGGTCATCATCAGCTATACAGTAAATTAAGGATAACCTGGGCTACATCAAACACTGTCCTGAAAATTAAAACTGGGTATATTCTATATACCTTGGTATATAACACATGCCTAGTATGTGCAAGGCCCTGGGATCTATTCTTACCACTGTAAAAAAATAAAAACAGGATCAAATCCTAATAACAGTCATCTGTTCATTTTACAAAACTGTCCACAATAATTTGATGGGGTGTCCCCTCCCCATCCCATCTTTTTGAAACAGGGTTCTGCTATGCAGCCCATGATGGCCTCAAACTTATCATCCTCCTGCCTCAGCCTCTTTGGTGCTGGGATTTATAGCTATTTACTACCAAACCCAGTCTGGAATACCCTTCTTTAAGTAGCAACTGGAGAGTCAAAAAACAACCTACACTCTTTGCTAAGGGTCACATTGAATTAATGCTGCTCTGGAGTAGTCCTTAGCAGTCAGCACCATGGCTGAAGACATCAAGACTAAAACCAAAGCTGCCCCTTTGACAGCCCCTTCCTAAACTAAGAGCAGACCAGGACTTCCACTGCTGCGAGAAGGCAGTGACTGCAAAGGCTGTCCCTGTGTGAGTGGTACCCACATGTGTGCAAGCCCTCAGCCCCATATCACGAGTCTCAGTCCAGGATGACAGCACAGCAGAGGGCACACTTCCTGGGAAGAGCTGACCTGACCATGTCCACCTCTCCTCTGTTCTCTGTCCTTCTTCCCAAACAGTAAAGGGGGACCTGGATATATGATACTTCCTGTCCTGGGACCCTGAATCATAATGTAACTGCTAATAAAAATTTACTGGAAAAGTTCAAAACAGACAAAAACCCTCAATATATTTTTCTTTTATTCTTAAAACCCTTTTAGTATATAACTCATCAGTATATGCAATTTCCATTTTAACTTGCATCTGAAGCAGGGGGAATGGCTTTATTATGCCTTGCCTAACATTTTAATTTGAAGACAGGCAAATACTTGAAATTCCAGGCAATGGATGCCTTTAATCCACACAGTGGTATTGAACTGCCAAGACACACAATCATGTTGCCCCTCCCCCCTCCCTGCAGCCCATGGTTCGGGTGGCTCTTCTAACACACAGGCCTAGGCGAGATCGGTCCTCCCATCTTTGATCGCAGCTGATCCCAGGAATGAAAGTCACTCTTTCAGGGACTGCCATTGTCCAGTCCTGCTCTGTGTCCTTATGAGCCCTCTCAACTGACTCGGCTAGGAAAACAGTTAGCAGAGGGACAAGACCTTCCCTCCACCACCTTGTCACTATCTACGCTTCTCCTTTTAAAGTTGGACTCCTGCCCAGATTAAATGACTGTGGGGTCTTCCCTGACCCCGGCCTAGCTTGCCTCCCTTTCTTTGAGAACTCTCACTCTTCCCTTGCCTGCGCAGCTATTCATGAGTCACACAGATCCCTTCCCCTCATTCATTCAGCACAGTGGGCTACTTCTGTCCCCAGCCCACGCACGAGCCTCCTGCTTCTGCTGACCCACATAGATTAAGCTTCCCGACTATCTTGGCTTGGACTCCTCATGCCAAGAAAACGACACTGGCTTTGACTTTTTGTCAGCATATCCCTGCCAGGGGTTGAGTTTCTGTCCCTTCTAAGCATCTTCCTCACACTGAGATGAAAAGCCTTTTCAATTCACTGCTGTGGGTCTCGCTCTGCTCTGCATCCGGGTCGTGCAGGTTCTATCCACCTCACTGAATAGCTTTCTTTGATGCTCTCAGAAACAGTGTTCAAAGCTTCGAGTTTGTTCAGGTCACTACCCAACACGTTGCTCCTTGGCTCTCAGTGAGTGACACTGGGCTGAACACTGATCACACTTAAGAAGTCTCCAATTTCACTCAGTCCTAAGGTTATTTTTCTCATACCTAAATTACCTTTATTCATTCATTCTGTTGTATATCTTCTATCCCCAGTCTCCCCATAATTACCACCCCAAAGAGTTTAAAGGCCAAGACAAAGTCTCAATCCCATTACTGGAATTAACTCTCAACTATGTTAGCTAAAAGGTTACCATCAGCATGGTGTGGTGTGTACATGGAATCCTAGCACTCGGGAGGAAAAGACAAAGGCTCGGGACTTCTGGATAGCCTGAGCCAGTGGAAACTTGGTATCAGAAACTCTGTTATAGAGTACTTACTTAGCATACATGAAGCCTTGCTTTTGGCTCTCAGTATCATGCAGAAATTCCCCAAAAGTAATTCTCCATTAAAAAGTCATCACAGAATAAGTTAGCCACAAACTGTGATCCTGATCAACACATTTCTTAGTTGGACCTATGTTTGGACAGAATCTCAGTTTCACAAAGGGCGAAGCCAGGAATGTGTTGATCATGGCAAGGAGTTTAGATAAGTATTGGGGTTCTTCCTACATGACCTTTATAAAATTACATGATTAAGTGCTCAAAATGAATTTTTAGTAAAAGCACTTACGGGGCTGGAGAAATGGCTCAGCAGTTAAGAGTACTGACTGCTTCTTCAGAGGACCCAGGTTCAGCTCCCAGCACGTACATGGCAGCTCATAACTGTCTATAACTCCAGTTTCAGGGGATCCAACATTTTTACAGACATATGTGCAGGCAAAACACAACAGCACATGAAATTAAAATAAATAAATATTTTTAAAAGAAAGAGTATCACAATTTGTAGTCACTAATGTGCTTATTTTTATTAACTGGGTGTTAATAGCCCTCACGGTCAAAGAAAACCTTTCTCCATTAGAAAATAGAGCCATTGGGAAAGTGGTAGGATGGGGGCACTAGGCAGAGTGAGAAGGAGTTAATAATAGATGGATATGATCAAAGCATATTGTATAAATTATATGAAATTTTCAAAGAATAAATTTAAAATACAATTAACAAATAAAAATAAAAAATCATAAGGTTGACATGGTGATATGTACACATTTATAATTTCCATATTGATTCCATACTGCCTTCATACTGGTTCCTGGGTAACCTAGTGCCTTCATACTGGTTCCTGGCTTTAGTGGGTCTTTTTT